AATATGAAGTGTCACTATTGTCACAAAACAGGACATATAAAGAAGAACTATTTTTTGTTGAAGAAAGAGAACAAAGACAAAAAGGGTAAGTAAAGAGAAAAAGATATCGATGATGGTGATCGTGTTACTACTACTACTATATGTGGTGACCTTATTTGTCTTCGTGATTATGACACTATTAATCTTGTATCTGATGAGAGCATGTGGATAATTGATAGTGGTGTTACACTGCATATTACATCCAGGAAGGAGTTCTTCACATCTTATACACCTAGTGATTTTGGAGTATTGAAGATGGGTAGTGCTACAGTGTCTAAGGCTATTGGTGTTGGTGATATTCACTTGCAAACCAACATGGGGATGCAGTTGTTGCTTAGAGGAGTTAAACATGCTCCAGATGTTCGCTTTAACTTGATTTTTTTGTAGGTACTTGATGATGGTGGATTTGATAACCACTTTGGTTCTGGAAAGTGGAAGCTCACCAAAGGTAACTTGATTGTGGCTAATTGGGAGAAAAACTCTTAGCTTTACTGGACAAAAGCTTTGGTTGCTAAAGATATTGTGAATGCCATGTATATGGAGTCATCTTTGTGGCATAGAAGGCTTGGGCATATCAGTGAAAAAGGACTTAACTGCTTAGTTAAAAAGGATGTTCTCTCAGGATTGAATAGTGTAGAGTTGGAGAAATGTTCTCATTGCATGGCTGGTAAACAAACCAGAGTATCCTTCAAGAAGCATCCTCTTTCCAAGAAGTCAAAGTTGCTTGAATTGATGCATTCTGATGTTTGTGGCCCATTAAAGGTAAAGTATTTTAGTGGTGCACTCTACTTTGTTACTTTTATTGATGATTGTTCCAGGAAGCTTTGGGTTTATGCTTTACAGAGAAATGACCAAGTGTTGGACAAGTTTAAACAATTCCATGCTTTGGTTGAGAGACAGTCAACCAATAAGCTAAAGCACATTCGTATTGACAATGATGGTGAATATTGTGGACCATTTGATGCTTATTGTAGACAGTATGATATTGCACATGAGAAGACTCCTCCCAAAACTCCTCAGTTGAATGGTTTAGCAGAGAGGATGAATAAGACATTGATTGAAAGAGTTAAGTGTATGCTTTCTGAAGCAAAATTGCCTAAGCATTTATGGGGTGAGACATTGTTTACAGTAGTGCATGTTATTAATCTAAGTCTTGCAGTTGCTTTGAATTCTGAGGTGCCAGACAAGATTTGGTTTGGCAAGAATGTTACTTATGATCATTTGCGTGTCTTCGGTTGTAAAGCATTTGTTCATGTTCCAAAGGATGAAAGATCCAAGTTGGATGTGAAGACAAGGTAATGCATCTTCATTGGCTTTGGTCAGGATGAATTTGGCTACAAGTTGTATGATCCCGTTGAAAAGAAAGTTGTTAGAAGTCGTGATGTGCAATTCATGGAAGATCAAACCATTGAAGATATTGATAAGGTGGAAAAGTCTACACCTAAGGAAGATGGTAATGTGGCTGATTTTGATCCAATTCGGTTGTCTATTAATGATTTGGATATTGATGTTTATGATGATGAACAACATGGTGATATTGATAATCAGCAAATTGGAGATGACTTGGATGTTCCTATTGATAATGTTGATGAAGAGGAACATGATATGTCACTAGTTGACAGTCTTGGTGATGTACCTAAGTCACTAGAAGCTCAACCCCAAAGATCTGATAGGCCAAAACAACCTTCTAAGAAGTACTCTACCAATGAATATGTAATTTTGATTGATGACGAAGAACCTGAATGTTATGAGGAGGCCATTAAAAGTGAAGAAAAACAAAAGTGGTTGGATGCAATGCAGGATGAGATGAAATCTCTGCATGATAATCACACTTATACTATGTGATAAGTTTATATTTTTTGGTCCTTTTCCAATCACTTTAATCTTTGAATTTATCTTGTTTGTGAGTTTTCTTATAATTTAGTTATTTTGTGTTTATTTTACATTTAATATCTTTTAAGTGTTTGAAATGAGTGAATAAGAAATAAATCTAGTAAATAAAAACAAGCTTGACTTCAGGAAAATATGATTGCATAAAAAAAAAAGATGAAATGGAGATAAAATGATTCACTGGTGGTTAATACAGATAAAATGCTTGTATCCACTGGTGGTGTTTTTCTTGGTTTTGGATGCAAAGATGGCTTTAGGGTTAGAATGACAATCATAACATCTTGTTAGTTCTCAGACGCTAACGGACCGAATCACGTAACGGAATTGGGTCTTTTTTAAATACTAATGGGCCACGGGTATGAGCTTGGGCCACTTTCAAGAGCAAAGGCAAACGTCGAACGTGTAACCCAGAACCTGATCCAAAAGATTATTATAAGTGAAAATTCATTATATTATTTTACATATTATAACATTCTTTTAGAAATAAAAGAAAATCCATCGAAAATGAGAAGGTTAATGGTTCACGGTGGATTGTACCTTGTTAAGAGTGGTGCACGCTAAGGTGTGGTTGGTCTCTTAAGCAGAGTAACATAAACTCACAACGCACGCACGCACGCACGCAGAGTCTCGGTCACCAATTAAAGGGTTCACACGTGAGTGTAGAGTAGGAATTTAGGATGGGCCCCACCTGTTTCATTCGCCACAAAACATAAAAAAGTGGTTTGACCCTACTGCGTTGTTGCTTTCTCTGTCAGTCACGAGCCACACACGTGCCACTCTCTCTCTCTCTCAAACTCCGTCTATAACTCCAACGCCATTAATCCACTATTCAGCTTTCATCCAACGTCTCAGATTGAAGTAACTAAAAAATAGAGAAAATAAAAAGAGTGGATAGCGGCAAAAGCGGAGTGGTTCCGGCATTGGGTCCCTGTGTCGTAGCAGAGCCCCGCAAAACCTGACCCTCTCAACCCAATCAAACATTTATTTCCTTCCTTTCAATCTTATTATATGTCTATTTAGATTCCAAAAATCAATGTTGTAGCAATAGTATATTGTAAGAGTCAGGTTTTTGGGTTCTTCTTCCTTTCCCATTCTTATCAATCACATACCTAACGCACACGAATTCAGTCACAAATAAGATTAATGAATACCCGTAATTAAATTTAAATATAGTTTATCATGTTTTAGTTGTATTTTAAAATAAAATTTGACAGTAGTAGTAATTTTTGAAGTAAAAAGAAAAAGGTGATTAGGAATTGAAATTAGTGAGGAGTGACGTATGGTGATGATAGGGAGGGTAGTAGGGTAGGGTAGGAGAGGTATGAAACATAAAAACAAAGAAACATGACTATTAGGAATAAGGAGTGTGGCTATGGGTAGAGTCTAGAGAATAGGCATAGAGAAAGAGAAATTGGTAATGATGAAAAAAGATGGGTGATGAGGGTGGAGGGTGTTATCTGTCCTCCTCAACACCCGGCAAACCCATTTCAATTGCCGCATTCTTGTCTCCCTTTACCTTTTTCCCATTCTTCCTTCCACTTATCTAACAATATTTTCATCAAACCATCTTCAAAAATATATATATCTATATGCTTTTCCACATCCCAAACCACTCCATAATCAATCAAGTGGCGCCATTCTAATAAAAACATCTGTCAAATATTATTAAAACTTTCATTTCCCCACTCTATTTTACTCGTCTTTTGTTGCATCTGAAGCTTTCATGATGATTTATTAGGTCATTAGAGCAATCCCGACATTGAATTGAATGTGCGAGACAGAAGATGATGGTATGGTTGACTTGTACCACAAGCAGAGATCTGAAAATTGTGTGTGAATCAGAGGATTATGCCATGATTCCCCTGCACTCATTATTTATGTCCGTAAAACCTTCACCTATGCCCTTGGATACCTTTCCCATGCTACACAGTAAGTCCCACATCCAATAATCATAACGCTTTTCTATTAACTATTTCGTATAAGATTAGTTTATTCAATTCAGTAAGCTAGGATCCAAGACCATTAATGAAGTATTCAACAATTGTACTGGCAGTATTTCTGCACCGCATTCATTCATTCATGCGCATTCAGATGGGATCTTTTATCCTCTTATTTTCAGCTCAGCTCAGCTCAAAAATAAGTCAAAGAAAAATACACTGACAGTGAAAATCAACTTTACCTTTTGAATTTGCGCATGCGACTCCCAATGGATTCTTTTCCTTCCCTGCCTAATCTTATTTGTGCAAATAATTCATCACCACTAATCTACTAGTGTATTTTTTCATTTTTAAATTGAAAATTTTAAAGTGTAAACTTTGATATTTTATAAGTTTGATTTCTTTTATTTGATTTTGTTTTATAATCAACCTATCCAAATCAATTAGTCAATTAATATTACAGATGTAATACAACTTTATTAACGATTTTAGCTTCCATCCATAGTTTTAATTTTTTCTCACACTTCTTATCTTCTTGTAATGCATATAATTAAACATTCCATGCTGACATGTTTTTTTTTCGAAGAAAGAGACATCACTATCATTATTTGATGTTTATCAAAGGAGTTAATTATATTTTCCTCTCCTGTATTTTCTAAACAATTTGTAGTACACCATGTTTAAGTTAAACAAATGCATAAAAAACATAATAATCAGATTCCTTGACGCTGAATTTATTCAATGATAACTATGTTGACTAACATGTATTTGGTATTGAAAATTCATTCATTCATAACTATCTCCACTCAGTTAATCACATTCACAATACAAACAGTGTAATAGTGCATGTGTCAACAATTTATGGTTATACGTTTTCGTTCACAAACCACACAAGGGTAAATGCGACATTTCGAAATTCCAAACGGCAACGTTGTAGCACCTGTTAACAGCGACAAGATATTTAATTTCGTGTTTCCATGTGGTGAGGGAATGGACGGTTTTGATTTCTCCGTCAGAATGCATCGCTACCGTCCAACGCAAAATCCGGAGTCCATATCATTGTTATCAAACTAACAAATGGACACAGCCTCCGCCATTTATTCTCCGTTTTGCCCCTCAGTACTATAATTGCGTTTAATCGCTTTTGTTTGGTTTTTCTGTCTTAAGGCTTCATTCATTCAGCTTCTCCACTCATATCTCCCCAAAAGCTTTTGTTTCTTTCTGCTTATGGAAGGCCCTTAAACTTTCTCACTCTGCTTCACTTTCTCCCTTTAGCATTTTCTTGCGAAATATTTCCACAAAATCAGTAGCAGTTTTTTTCGGTCTCTGATATACCAAAACTCGCTTCCTTAGGTGCGTACTACTTCAAATTCTCTTCTCTTACTTGTAACTGTTCCTCTTTTTTCAAAGATTTCTTCATCGATTATCTTTCTCGGCACTTTCAGGTAGAATGTACTCCTATTCTGTTTCTTCTTCTTCTTCTTCTTCTTTTCTGAAAAAAACTGCTGAGGAATTTGCGCGAGCGCGGATCTACTTAGCTTTTGAGCTTTGTGTTTGCTTATTATTTGCTGTAGAGGCTGAGGTTGCGAAGAAGAGTGAACTAGAAATAGGAAGGGAGTAGTAGGGCGTCCTATTTTGCTAAGTCTTCCTTTAATTACTTACTCGCAAGGTTGTTTATGTGTCTTAATGTTGTGATTCTGTTATAATTATCTTTTTTTTTATGCTTAACTCTGTAACAGTAAAACCCATGCATGCTAATTATTTACTTTTACTTATTTGTTTTTCACTGTGATTGGTTGTTGGCTGAGTTGCTAGTTAATGGCGTGATCGTTATGATTGGACCTTTTTTTCATCATGCTGAAGCTTGATTTTCTCATAAATGGTGTTTTGTTGTTAGCATAGGGCTTTTTGGGTTGTTGTTAATTTGGAGTGAACGATGGATTTGACTTTTACTGTTTCAGTTTTTGGCAGTTTGGTTTGATTGTGTTTGGAGTGTGATGTCGCCGCCGGCGGTGGTAACGGAGGAGGATGGGCTGAGCAAGGTGTCGTCGACTGTAGCGTCTGGTTCTTCGCAGTCCTTGGATTGTTTCTCTCAGAATGGGGCTGGATTGAAAGAAAGGAATTACTTAGGGTTGTCTGATTGCTCATCAGTGGATAGCTGTGCATCTACTGTGCCAGGCTTGGGTGATGAGAAAAAGGAGAACATGAATTTGAAGGCTACGGAGTTGAGGCTGGGTCTTCCCGGGTCACAGTCACCTGAAAGAGATCCTGATCTTTTCTCTTTAAGCTCAGCAAAGCTCGACGAGAAGCCACTGTTCCCATTAGTTCCTACTAAAGACGGGATTTGCTTGTCGTCCCAGAAAACTGTTGTTTCCGGCAACAAGAGAGGTTTTGCTGATACCATGGATGGGTTTTCTCAGGTTAGAAGAGATGCTTGAAGTTCTTAATATTGTGAGAAATGATTTTTTTTTTCTGTGTCTGAGATTTGCTGTCGCAATCTTTCGTGCAGGGGAAGTTTACTGGTAATACGGGGATGAACGCAATGCTGTCACCTAGGCCTTCTTGTGCTCAGCCTTCTGCAATGAAAGAAATTCCAAGCAAGTTGCAAGAACGGCCTTGTTCAGCTAATAATGGAACTGGTCATAACCATACAGGTGCTTCTATAAGTGGCAGTGCACCGGCTTCTAAGTAAGTGGAATCTATCTACTCAAGGAATCATAGCTTTCACGTGATTTTAGAAGTTGGACAAACGAACTCCATAAATTGGATTTTCCTTGTGTTCTAGGTATGCTAATTACGTAAAATCCGTTTTGCAGGGCACAGGTTGTCGGTTGGCCTCCTATAAGATCATTTAGGAAAAACTCCATGGCCACTACATCCAACAAGAACAATGATGAAGTGGATGGAAAACCCGGTGGTGGCGCACTCTTTGTGAAGGTCAGCATGGATGGTGCTCCCTATCTTAGGAAAGTAGATCTAAGAAGTTATTCAACATATCAGGAGCTATCTTCTGCACTTGAGAAAATGTTCAGCTGTTTTACCTTAGGTGAGCTTTTGCAGCTCTATTTACTTAGCAGTAAATTGGTTTCTACTAATGATTTGTTTTAAAAATTATTTGATGGTTATTTTAATTTTATTCTGGATTGTGTCTTTGGTACTTGTTTACAATCAGGTCAGTGTGGTTCCCATGGAGCTCCAGGAAGAGAAATGTTGAGTGAGAGTAAGCTGAGGGATCTTCTGCACGGTTCAGAGTATGTCGTCACTTATGAAGATAAAGATGGAGACTGGATGCTTGTAGGGGATGTACCCTGGGAGTAAGTACACCTAAATTCTTCGTGTCCTTTGTCATTTTTTTGTTCTCATTATATTTTCCGAGTTATAGTAATTATAGATGTTTCTTTGATTATGTGGTTGGGTGATTTAGCAATTATATAACCTAAAAAGGTGTAAAGGGTAATAATTATTATTGGGCACATATGTAATTTCTTGCAAATTTTCAATTATCAAACAATTTGGAAATTGAAAAATTAATTGGAGATCATTTTGGTTACTAGTCGTTGAGGTGATAAAAAATTAGAGCAAGAGTCTGATTAATTGTTTGTGTATATGCCTTGAACGCTGAGTCTAGTGATCAATCACATTCTTGTTCAAATCATGCAACAAGTATGCTGGCGTTATTATTTTCCAGTATTTTGAAAAGACCCGAAGTCAAGTTTTATTAGTAATTCCAGAATCTTGCTTACTTTACAATCATCTAGAAGGATAATCAACTTAGTTTGATTCGAAATATGATAACAAATGGTTGAGTGCAAGAATTAATGACCAATGATATCCTGTTATTTCTTCTTTCAGCCAATTCTTCTAATTTTAGGAGAGTATACACTAGAGAAGGATACAAAATAGTTGTAAGTTGTATGAAATAACAGCCAAATTCCTTTAATGTGCTATTCAGGGGCATGGCAACTGAGAGCTTGCTATAAAACTAGTTTTTGTGCATAGCATATTTTAAATGCGAAATATGCCGTTTATGACAAATATGAACTGAAATATAAAATGATATATAGCTCGAGTACAGCAACACTCAATTAACGGGCAAAGTCCTTTTCCGAAGAAGAAAGTAGGTATATCAACTCTTTGAGATGTTCTAAAAACATTTTCTTTGCAGAAACGATATATACTTTGATAGAGTCATTTAGCATGCACCATATTGATCTATTTGTAGTCAAATTTGAACTAGTTTAACAGATATAAATATAGTTGATAAAATAGAATATACTGCTAGTCTGCTACTTTGGTGTTTGCTATAGAGATGAGGTTGGAAAGTGAAGTTTAGCTCATGCAGGTGAGGAAGGGTAAAATGGAGGATAGCGAAGGGATGACTTGCTTCTTAACAGAATGCCTGAGTGGCAGTGGCTAATGAGTGGGAGGGGAAAGTAGGGGATTGTAATGGTTAATTCAGGTATGGGGCCTTTGGGAAGTGATGAAGCATACGTATACTCCTCGTTTAGTCTGTAGGGATTTATTTTTATCTTTTCTAGCACCGTTTCTATTATTTTCCCATTTTTTATGTATGTATAGACTTGAACAGTAGTATCAATCTAAAGAATTTATCATGGCTAGGGCTTTTTCAGCTGAATACGATTTTTACTGTTAATTCTGCCATATACTTTGTTCGTATGTTTTATGTTCTGTCTATGTAGACATCATCAGGTCTTGGTGCAAATTAGTCAATATTTGTACCAACAAATGAACTGACTAATGGCTTGAGATTTTTGCTTTCCTCTACTGGTTTACATCCCTTTTCCACTCAACTTCATTTGTACAAATTGTTGCAGAATGTTCATTGATACTTGCAAAAGGCTGAAAATTATGAAGGGTTCTGATGCCATTGGCTTAGGTGTGTATTCTCACCAATGATTTATTTTACCGTCACTCGCTATGCCTAATGTGGAAGATTCACGTGAACTATTAAATTGACATACTTAATTTGAGACGGACATATGAACTATACCTGCAGCAGATTGTGTTCTAACACGTTCTTAAGAGATAACTTGAATATCTGTATATGCTTTTCTGAGGAATATTTCATATATTCATTTATGCAAAATTGCGTGTGGTTCTGTCACTGTAAAATTCGGTCTTATGTCGATTAACCGTTAAACTAAATGCTGCAAGTCAATATATATTGGATATTTGGGTGCAGTTTTAAAAGGAATTTTTGTCTGCTAACATATTGCAATTTTACCACAAAATTTTAGTGGTTGGATCATTTCTGTTGTCAAGGGAACTGCATATAGACCTTTTTGTTTTGAAACTCTATAACTTGATGTTTAGTTCCATAGCATGATCTATCTCGTCAGCCAATGTCGATTTAAATATTAACAACAATAATAATACTGTTTACCTTATATAAAATAATTACGCCTCAGTTTGCTTAAGTGGAGTTTTTTTGCCTCAGCTCCCAGGGCCATGGAAAAGTCCAAAAGCAGGACTTAAGGTATTCGGGACCGCCTTTTGTCTAATCAAAGCTTTATTGCTGGATCCAGAGTGGGAAAAAAGGAAGATGACTGAATTCCCTGAGATCAATGGTTTAACGCGATTCAGCTGTTGTTTTTATGTTTTCGAGTCCCTTAAGAGTCTTTCTTGGTCTTGTGTTAGTTTGTTACCACTATAATATCATATGAAGCTACTTGGAAGATTAGTATTTGTGGAGTCTGTAATCAATATAGGAATCTGTTTGTTTGGATGAATCGAATATCTGTTGCAGCCATCATACGGTTCTAACACTATGTTTGTGATTTGTGTCTCACTCGCCTATTCATTTTCTTCCATTTTCTTCAATAGCATTCTTTCGTGTCTCCTATTACCATGTGAAAATGGATATGGGTAGAGTTTTTAAAATCTGGTCTGATATTTGTTGACACCTCATTGGCATTTATACTATTATTATTATTATTGTTTTTTATTATGTTACGTATGAACCAAAATATTCAATACATTATTAGGGTAAACTTAAATGATGGGTTGGTAAACTTAAATGAGGGTTTGGAGAGCAAAAGTCATTATGTGTACATTATGATTTGGAGGTTAATGGACAATATAATATGTTTTGTAATAACAAGAGGCATTGGGTCTTGTAGATGAAAAGTCAAATGTAAGTTTTAAATTAGAAAAATGATTTTTTCACACATAAATTTTTTTACATTCAACGCAATCTTTGCTTACCTTTTTCACTTTTCTTTCATAATAAAATACAAAACTTTATATTTTTATGGTTATTTTATCTTTATATTATGTGTTAAATAAATGTAAAAATGTGTCGTATTACTATTTTTTTCTTGTATGAAATATACAATATATGACCTCTCTTTGTGGGTTCATGTCTCATGACAATTGGAGGCTCATCCAAGAAAATTGAGAGCGGGTAAAAAGTGGTATTGTGAAGAAAAAAAAGTGAACTTAATCGAATGTTCGGATGATTACATTATAATCGCATATCAATTTTGTACAAGACAATTTTGTACATTTTATACTAAGGTGTGAACAAGTTTGATTTTGAAAATATTGTAAATGCAAATAATATAAAAAGAATTGTGAGATATTATAGAAAATGTGTATAAGGCAAATGTTCTACTGAAGTAGGTGAGGTTATAAACACTCAAAATTGAAGAGCATGAGAATGAAGGAGAGAAAGGAACTAGTCAAGAACATTACTCAAATCGAAACTATGGCGAACTAACTCAATAATAAAGGTGTTGTTATCTAATTGAGTGGTGAAGAAGATTTTGAGATTATTGGTTGATGACTTTGAAAATATGGTATATGAGATTAAAGAGTTTAAGGATCTATGAATGCTTACTATTGAAACATTTGTCGAGTCCTTTAAGACTCATAAGTAGTGGAAGAAGAAGAAGAAGGTGAAGTCACTTAACATGCGTTCTAATTAAAAGCAACAATTAAAAAGGATAAGCAATATTACATCTAAAACACTCGAAGCAAACGAAAAAGTCAAGAGGTAAAGGAGATGGTTGCAAGGTCAAGGAAGACATGAAGAAGAGAGATGTCAACCTAGACAACAAACATTTAATGCTTCAAATGTGATAAGCACAATCATTCTGCAAATGATTGTAAATTGAACAAATGTTACAATTATGACAAGGTCACTCACTTTGCAAAAGAGTGTCAATCTCAAAATAGGAAGGATGTGCTGACCAACTTTCTTAGAGAGAAAGTCAAAGAGAATGAGGTCGGTCTGTTGATGATGTCACAAAGCTTGGGAATTGATTTCATATTGATCAGTATCTCAGACAAAACAATTGAACTATTAAACTCGATAGTACAACCAAGCCATTCAACCAACTCAGTGTGGTACCTTGACACAGGAGCGAGCAACCATATGTGTGGAGACGAATAATTTTTCAAAGCCTTACTAAAGTTGATGTCAGACACATGTCTTTTAGATATGATTCAAAGGTTGTAGTAAAAGGCATAAAAACAATTTAGTACTCACATAAGGTTGATCAAGTTGGGGAGATTTGTGACATGTACTATGTACCTGATTTCAAAAGCAATATTCTTAGCATGTGATAACTAATGAAGAAGGGTCACTCAAATTTAATGAAAGATTGAGTATTACAATCGAAGGACAAACTCGGACATTTGATTGTCCGAGTATAAATGAGGAAAACCAAGATGTATAAACTAGACTTGAAGATTATTAAAGAGAGATGCTTTAAGTTAATGTGGAAGATGAAGCAATGTTGTGGTATTTTTTGTTTGGTCACTTACATTTTGGTGGACTGACCGACTTGGTGAGGAAAGGCATGGTTCGTGGATTGTCGAGCATTGAGTTTGATGGAAAGTTTTGTGAAGAACGCGTACTTAACAAACAATCGAGGACATCGTTTTCAAGTAGTGCCAAGAACTAAGCAGGGGAGCAACTCGATTTGATACATACTGATGTGTTTAGACTAATTAGCCCTGAATCATTTAGTGGTAAGTGGTGAGTGGTATTTGTTTTGTTTGTTGATGATTTTTCAAGAAAGTCATGGGTATACTTCTTGAAAGAAAAATCTTAAGTGTTCAAAATATTCAAGAAGTTTAGAGTGATTGTTGAGAAGGAGACAAACAAACATATTAAAGTTGTTCGGTCTGATAGAGGATACAAGTTCAAATCAGCCATGTTCATGAAGTACTATGAGGAGCACGACATAAGAAAACTCTTAAAAACACCCTACTCGCTACAACAAAATGGGATAATTGAGAGGAAGAACCTAACAATTCTAGATATGATTCGAATAATGCTAAAAGGGAAGAATATGTGCAGAATAAGTATGAACAGAAGTCGAGTGTATCTTATCTCAAGGTATTTGGTAGCATGGCATATGGTCATGTATCGGTTCAACAAAGGACAAAAATTGAAGACAAAAGAAATTTGTGTTTATTGGGTATGATGAGAATGTTAAAACTTACAAGTTTTTTAACATAATAAACCAAAAGGTGGTAACAAGTCATGATATCTGAGTAGATAAAGAAAGTGAATGGAGATGCAACAACTCAGGAGAAGAGATCGATGAAAGTACTAGCAGGACAATTGTTTTACCACCAGTTATAACAAATTCAGAGAGCGATGACAAATATGAACCATGACGGCCTAGAATGTGAACCTTGCAAGATATGTATGAGTCTATTAAAGAGGTACATATTCTTTGTCTTTTGGCAAATTCAAAGAATTAAGAGAAGTGGTGTATATCAATGGATGAGGAGATAAGTATGATAAAGTGCAATGACACATCGAAGTTATCCAACCTCTTAAAAGAGCTCGACCCATAGGTGTAAAATGCGTATACAAAAAGAAGATGACCCTCAAGGTGAGATAGAGCGACACAAAGCCCAATTTGTACCAAGGGGCTACAAACAGAAGGGGGGATAGACTATGCTGAGGTGTTTGCGCCAGCCACAAGAATGGAAACTCTTTGGCTACTCATTAGCAACTCAACACATGTGGCTGATATTTCAATTGGACGTGAAGTCGACGTTCTTGAATGGAGTCTTGAAGGAAGAAGTTTATATTAACAACCACTCAAGTGTATGAGAATAGGAGAAGAAAAGAAAGTGTTGGGGTTGAAGAAGACACTATATAGATTGAAACAAGCTCTTCAAGCATGAAATCATCTCATTGACACTTAATTCAAGAAGAATAGATGTGAAGAGTGTCCATATGAATATGTTAGAATAAACTTAAATCTAAGGGGTTTATTAGTAATTTTGTTTGAGTCTTATTTTATTAGTTTGAGTCTAGTAATATTTAGTTTGATTTTCATAGAGATAAAATATGGATAAATAGTTTTAATTTTCCATTTATTTAGGTGTAATATTATTTTATTTTGTTGATATAAGATAGAGATAGATTAAGTAGTTTCTCATTTTGAGTCAGTTGATATTTCGTTTTTAGTTTTATTCTTTGTATCTAAGGCCCTATTTACACATATTTAAAGGGTGACAAGGTTCAATGAAATAACCACAGTGCATTTAAGAGTCCTATCATAGTGTGTGTCACGTTATTTTCTACAAATTGGTACCAAAGCTTTATATGCTCTGAGTACCGAGAGAAAAAAAAGAAGAGAGAGAGGAAAGTCAAACACCGTAAGGAAAACAGTGAGTGCTTAAGTGTTTTGTGGGACAGATGTCAAAGGTAGTCAACGGAATGAGTATGCCACACTTGTCGAAAAAGATCAATTACACAATTGGTGTCTACAGATGATGAAGGTTCTTCTTGAATCCCAAGATGTATGGGACATAGTGGAGGATGGGTATAATGAACCTACAAAGGATGAACATTCGACAGTGACCAAGATTGCTGCATTGAAAAAGACACGAGTGAAATACATATTAACTTTGTACTTTCTATACAATGCAGTGAATAAATCGGTGTTCGAGAAAATAGTTAATTCGAAGTCAGCAAAAGAAGCCTGAAAAATTTTGGAGGTGGCGTACAAAGGAGATATTCACGTGAGGAAGGTCTAAGTACAAGCTCTCAGAAGAGAATTAAAACATGTGGAGATGGATGAAGAGGAGGGATTTGCCAAGTTTATAGCTTGAGTATAGAAGATGAATAACTAACTCAGAATGAACGGAGAAGAGATGCCTCTTAACCGGGTTGCAGAAAATGAGTGTCGATCAAGTAAATGATACAACTGTGGTAACGTTGGCCACATTACAAACTATTGCCAAACTAAGACAATGAGGAAGACAAATCTCCTTACTGAAGATGCAGAGGAAGAGTATGGAATCTTGTTGATGGCAAAGAGCTCGGATGTTAACCTGCCGAGCATGAGACTGGCTGTGGAGTTCAACCTAGGGTCTATGGTGAAGAACATGTCGGATACTGAGAAGAGATCAGTAGGAAGCTCGATCTATATATTTGAGAGTCTAGATGTTTCTGTATGGAGACTAATTAGCCCGATTGAACTTGAGAACAACCAGATTAGCTTGGTGGTGCCTCTACATAACTCAGAGCAGTATGAAGGGATCTCGGGTGAGTATGTGACAAGCCCGACCAACTTGCTGGGATTTTTGGATAACTTACAAAGCTTTGCAGAGAGTGTGGACATGGAGAGTTTGGTCCCAACAATGGATGAAGTAAGCTTAGTAAATGGAGCGAAAGATGTGGAGAAGGCAAACCTAAAGAAGAAACTTAGACAAAAAGATGAAGAGATTTAGCGGATAAGGAGACTTCTAGATGAAGCTAATGAGATTATGAATAAACAGAGGACTGAGCTTAAGGAAATAAAGAAGGTGATTGAAAAGAAGGAAGAAACATCTAATGT